TTCTTTTAGAACTATAATATATATATATGTGTGTGTGTGTACTCTATATAAACTCTTATCACTCAATCCACCGCTACTTGTGGGGTGCGCAATTGGCTGCCACGTTTCGCCCACGAATATGCAGTCACTCCACTGTAGAGTGTATCCCGTGAAGGGCTTCGAGGCGTCTGCAAGACGGGCTGAGGGGCTGCGGCAAACACCAAGGGTTGCTATTTGTGAAGTATCTGTACGTACGTCATGTCGGCCCGTCACAATGGCAGCATTCGCTCGCTCTCGTCGGAGTCAGAAGGATGTGGGGTTGAAGGCCACACGTCAGGAGTTGGTTTAAGCTGATGCTCCAATGCAGCGCTGGGGGTGCGCGCGTGTGTGTGTGTGTGGGGTGTGGGGTGGTTTGCGCATTGTCAGAGGTGCCGTCTTTCGGATCAGTTGTTAAACTCTGTTCAGTTGGACGTTAAAGATCCCGCCATTGGAGAAGAGAAGGGAGTTCCCCTCTCCGAGTGTCCTGGCCAACAGTCCGGCTGCGCGCAACCTGCTGCCATGTTTCGCCCACAAAATAGATCGTGATAAGGCACCGTATCCAACGGAAAGATTATTATTATTATAATTATAATTATACTCTTGACTGGATGGCGATGGGTTTAAGTGTGGGTCAGACACCTGACGGACCAAAATAAATACAAAACTCAAGTTCTTTTTTTTCATTTGAGCCTTTTTTTGCAGACTTACATCATGTTATGTCAAGTCTGAGAGGTTCCCAGCCCCTTCTCTCTCCTCCCCCCCTCTCTCTGACTCCAATTTTGTTTACATTAGATGTTTTATAATTACAGCTGAGCGTATGAATGTGTGTGACAGTCCGAGGCAATTTTTAAAAACTATATATATATGAATCATATCACAATAGGGCGCTCGTTTGTTGTGATATAATAATAATAATCATTGCCTTTGACACAGTCCCTTATCATGTTGATGAGACGTCTCAAAGCGCTTCACGGGATACACTGTAAAGTGCAGTGACTGTGTGCTGTGTGGGCGAAATACGGCAACGGATTCAACAGTTCCACCGATAGGTAGTAATTTTCCTGTGTCTCGGTCACAAAAACCTTTACATTTATGATATCCTTCCCCCCCTGTAATGTATCAAAGGGCTTCACGTGTTTCTGTAACGTGTGGTGTATATTTACTGCGTGTATTTTTTGGCCAATCTGTAGCCAGTCAGCAACATCCCACAAACAGCCATAATGATTTAATAGAGGTATTAGATTCAATCAGGGTTTTCAAAATTATGAGGGGTTTCGATGAGTAGACGGGAAGAAACCGTTTCCTCTGGCACGTGGGTCGGCAACCAGATTTAAGATAATTGGCGAAAGAACCAGAGGGGCGACGAGATTATTTTTTTTACCCAGAGAGTTGTTACAGTCTGAGATGCACTGCCTGAAAGGATGGTGGACGCAGATTCGATAATAGCTATCAAAATGGAATTGGATAGGCACTTAAAAAGGAAAAGGCTGTGGGGTAAGAGCGGGGGAGCGGGACTAATTGGCGAGCTACTTCAAAAGAGCTGGCACAGGCACGATGGGCCGAATAATAATAATAATAATAATAATAATAATCCTTGCATTCGATATAGTGCTTTTCACGTCGGGAGGACGTCCCAAAGCGCTTCACAGAACACACTGTAAAGTGAATTGACTGTATATTTGTGGGCGAACGCGGCAGCCAATTGCGCACAGCAATGTCCCACAAACAGTCGTAGATTGAAAATGACCAATTTATTATTGTTTGGTTTTTTTGGAATTTTATCTCAGTCGCAGGAGACGTAAATATCAAACAGGTTTTGTTTTCCTCTCTGGGGCTGAGTGATATGCAAAGCCCCTGACCCCCCCTAAAAAAAAAGTATTTTGCAATGCAAAATACAGAGTCAGTGTGTCTGACTCACGTGGAAACCGATCACCGCACTTTAAAGGGTCTCCCGACGTTCACGATGAGGGGTAAGTGCTCAGTTTGGAACACGAGTTATACAAATGCTTTTATTTCGGCAAAAGAAAACGGATAAGAAACGTCTCGATAGATCGCACACACAATACCCGGAGGAGGGGGAAACGACGCCAACGCTGTACCCAAGCACTGAATAGCGTCGGGAACCCTGTCATTAACTGTTGTCTTAAGTGTTTCAGTCCTGCGGTATCCGTGGAAACGCAAGCTAATCACCGCATCGAGATCAACCTCGTTTTAAACGGTAACCAGTGAACGGGAAGGCTACGCATTAGTCATACGCGGGTCAGGTCTTCGGTCCCAGTGACTGTCCATCCCCGCGTGTCGGTGGTTAGAGCGCTCGCTTTGCAAGCGAGAGAGACCTGGGTTCGGTTCCCGGCAGGTCCGGGTGAAACCTCGGGCACGTTTGCTTACTCCACACGCCTGATACTAATCCCTCAAAAAATAAAAACGCAATGATAAATTGGTCACTTCAACCCGCGACTGTTTGCGGGGACGCTGCTGTGCACGATTGGCCGCCGCGTTTCGCCCACAAAATATGCAGTCAATTCACTTTGCAGTCTATTCTGTGAGGCGCTTTGAGACGGCGAGAAGATGTGAAAAGCGCTATATCAAATGCAAGGATTAGTATTATTATTATTACTTCCCGCTTCGCAAGCGAGGGGACCCGGGTGGGACGAGATCCTCCTCCACACACCTCTGTATACCGAGCAGTAAGTAGGAACCCGGTTGTTCAATCGGCAGATCACTTTTCTGTGGGTAATAATCCCTTCAAAAATAAATTGAATAATAATAATAATTTGGTCACTCAATCAACAACTGTTTCGTGAGCAATTGGTTGCCAAGTTTTGCCCACAAAATACAGTCAATTCGCTTTACAATATATTCTGTGAAGCACTTTGAGACCTCTCAACGATGTGAGAAGTCGCTGTATCGAATGCAAGAATTATTATTAATAATCCTTCTGTTCGATATTGGTGTTATCAAGTGAAAATATCTCAGCCCCATGCAGCCCAACGTTTTGTGCAGTGACTGTATATTTTGTAGACAGCTGTGGCAGCCAATTTGCACACAGCAATGTCCCCACAAACAACCATGAAGTAAACAACCGATTTTATCCGGGGAATTGTCAGCCAGGACATCGGGAGAGAGAGAGAAACTCCTTTCTTTTTCCCGGAGGGATTTTTAAGGTCCACCTGACCAGGCAGAATCTATACTAATAAAGACAAAATGTCTGTCTCTCTGTCTGACTGCCAAGAACGCAATAACCGATTGATGTAGAGACATGATTTATACCTCATTGGAATGTGGGAGTGTCATGGGCATATCTCTAATCGTTGACGAGCTATATTGAAAAACATATTAAAAAATGCTTTAATTACGCCCCCAAAAAGGGAAGCCTAGTGTTCAGCAACAAAGTAGCGTCAGAGGTCTCACACACTTCTGGAGAGATACATCTATACTAATAAGGCCAAAATGTCTGTCTGTGTGTCTGACTAACCAATTGACATAGAGACACCAACAGGAATCCTCCCACAGGAGCCCCCTCCAAAAGGATATGCGCGCAAATATGTGAACGAGGGATGCTAACGAGTTCAATAGAAAAATTTCTTAAGCTTAAGGGAAAAAAAGATGCAGAAGAAGCAAAGATCGACCCTTTCAAGGACAAATAAAAATGCCACACAAAAGAGAGAAGGCTGATTAAATTAAACTGGTTGCAAGGATAGCTGCAATGGGTACAGCTAGTATTATATAAACACAGAAATAACTATAAAAAAAAACAAGGATTATTATTATTAGACGAGATTAATGCAAAAAAGGTTTAATCTGCAAAACAATCGTATAAATTCCACTGATGTTGCCTGTGGTCCCGTCCCCGTTCCCCACTCCCCCCCCACCTGCAACCTCCCCACCCCACCCCACCCACTCACCCACCCACCCACCCATCCTCCCCGGCCAAGAGAATAACTGCAAAACGTCCCAGGGAGATGGTCTGTTAGGAAGGTACCCAGATATTCCCGTTGGTGTCAGGGGCATGTGTGTAAGGAATATTCCAAATCCATGGTTTATCTGAAAAAGAGAAGACAGAGACTCTGCAAAGGGGGAAATTACCTGGGTGCGGATTCGGGACTGGTTTCAGTGCTAAGGCGTAAAAAAAATATTATTATTATTTTGGGGGGGGTCAGCCTGGTGTCTGACACATGCGGAAACCCATCACCATGCTTACGAGTATCATAACCGAGCTGAGATTTGCCATCTACCAAATTCCAGCGATGGATTGTTGGGGTGGAATGCGCTCTCTCTCTCTCTCCCTGGAGGGACGCCTCCTGCTTACCTAATTCAGGACAGTGTTAGGCACAGGTTGGCAAGAGCCAAGGCTTGGGGGGAGCCCAGAGTGTGTGTTGGGATAAGTGCTGGAGTCTAACCGGCTGAAACCGCACAGTTTGCCATTGATATTGCTGTCCGGCAAGCTTTCCCGCTGCTTGTCCAGCTAACACCACCCTGCCCTACAGGGCTGTGGCTTTCATTACATCGAGTCTTGACTACGCAAACTCCCCGCTTGTCGGCCTCCCAACTCCTCCCTCCGCAGGCTGCAGATCATCCAGAACTCTGCAACCCGTGTCCTCTCCTGCACCGACCGGGCTCCGTGACCCCATCTCCCCCATTCTCGCCCGACTCCATTAGCTTCCCATCACACAGAGGATACAGTTCAACAACAAGATTACATTTGTCCAGCACCTTTCACGCCGGGAGGACGTCCCAAGGCGCTGGACAGAGTACAGCATTTCTCCCTGCCGGGAATCGAACCCAGATCCTCTCGCTTGCGAGGCGGGTGCTTTAACCACTGAGCTACAGGACTCCACACTGCAATTTCCCCTCTGCTGTGTTGTATCCTTGGCGAAGCGTTAGATGCGCTGGGCATAGTGATTCCAATTATAACTAACCGACAACCCTCGTTCCACCCACGTCCCCTCCATTAGTTACTGATTTTCTTGCATTGAACTTGCTCAAAGATAAAATTATCCCAAGTACGTTGGAAGGGTAATTATCGCAGGGTTGGTATCAATTACACAGTGCACCACACTGCATAGCTTGAGATGTCAGCCTCCCGCAACCTGTGAATCAGAGTCAGGTTTACAGCACAGGGAGATGGCATTTGGTCCATTGTGTCTGTAATAACATTATTAGAATAATCTTTGCATTTGATATAGCACCTTATCACGTCGTCAAGACGTCACAACATGCTTCACAGGACGTAGTGCAAGTGAATTGACTATATTTGGTGAGCGAAACTCAATTGCTCACAGCAGTGTCCCCCAAATAGTTGTGGATTGAGTACCCACATTTTTTTGGGGGGCGCGGGGGGATTATTACCCCCGGAAAAGTGATACGCCAATCGACTAACAAGCGGGTTCGGGTGGATGTTAAAAGATCTCTCACGGCGCGAATGGGGGAAGAGAAGGGAGTTTCTCTGTGTCGGTGTTCGTGGCCAACAATCCACCCCACTGCTGGTTTGTTTTCCAAATTTCCGCTTGTATTTTAACGTTTAAAACCCTACTTCTGCGACCTCCTAACCCCCGACCAACCCGCCCGCACCCTCTGCTCAGCCGGCTCCGGCCTGCTCCACGTCCCCCGACCCACCCGCCCAAACATTGGCGGGAGAGCCTTCAGCCACTCTGTCCCCAACCTCTGGAACTCCATCCCTTAGTCACTCCGCCTCGCCCCCTCCTTAGCCTCTTTCAAGTCCCGCCTCAAAACCCTTCTCTTCGTCCATGCCATCGGTCACCCCCATTCCCCTCATCGACCCCAGCTCGGGTCTGAAATGTTGTCCACTCTCCAGTGCCTTCGGACGTCCTCCCGACCTGAAAGGCGCTATACACATGTCATCTTGTTGTTGTTATTTAAAAACAATGTTTCATGAGGCGGTAGCGATGGTGTGTGCGTGAGTGGCGTGTGAGTGAGGCAAGTTCACGATTTAAAATGCTTCGATGACAGTAACAATAATAATAATAATAATGCTTGCATTTTATAAATCGCCTCATCGGGTCATTGAGACGTTCTCAAAGCATATCGCCGGGATATACTGTAAAGTGAATTGACTGTGTGTTTTCGTGGGCAAAACTCAGCAGCCAATTGCGCACAGCAGCGTCCCCACAAACAGTCACGAAATGAGCGACTGATTTTATTTGGGGGATTATTTGGGGGACTCGGGGCCAGGACATCAGGAGAGAGAAACTCCTTCTCTCTTTTTGAACAGGGTCACGGGCAGATGGGACCTTGGTTTAACGTCTCATCTTTAGGACGGCACCTCCGACAATACAACAGTCAATACACTGACTGTGTATTTTGTGGGCGAAACGCGGCTTACACTATTACGCAGCTCTTTTCAAAGAGTCGGCACAGGCACAATGGATCGAATGGCCTCCTTCTGTGCCATAGACTTCTATGATTCTATGACCTGGGTTCGATTCACGGGGGTGTCGAAACCGTAGGCAGGTTTTCTAACTCCGCACGCCTCTGCTTACCTAGCAGTGAGTAGGAACCCGGTTGTCAGTTGATTGGTGGATCGTTTTCCGGGGATAATAATCCCACCAAAAATAAATAATTTTGTCACTCAATCCACGACTGTTTGTGGGACGCTGCTGTGCGCAATTGGCTGCCGCGATTCGCCCACAAAATATGCAGTCAATTCCCTTTACGGTTTAAGCAGTGAAGCGCTTTGAGACGTCTCGACGGCGTGATAAGGCGCTGTCTGGAATGCAAGGCTTATTATTATTGTAATTATAATCTTAGCATCGGAACTAAACCAGTTAAGAATGAAATCGGCTTTGCGGAAATGTAGAATTCACCACCGCAAAGGGTTGCGGAGGCTGTTTTAACCGGAGAAGCGAGAGAAATGCTCCTCAACAATCGGCAGAGATGTCTGTAACAGTGGAACTCACTGCCCACACTTAGCCACCTGCACGGCGGCTAAGTGTGTTTGCTAATGCAAAAGCCATTATTACGGGGAAGGACACCTTGTTACAGGCATCCAGTCATTAAATCATTTTGTCGTCAGAGCCGTGTCTGTGCTGCCGCTCAGCCAGATGACATCTCTCCTCCACACGCTGACAGTTCCTGGATCACCCTATCCGCAACGTTCCAGAGAAACTTTTCTGGTGTTTTTCTGACAGTTTTCAGAGTGCATCGGCTCTGTATTACAATCCACGGCTGTTTGTGGGACACTGCTGTGCGCGTTTCGTCTACAAAGATATACAGTCACTACACTTTACCTGTGAAGCACTTTGAGACGTCTCGATGACGTGATACGGTGCTATATCAAATGCAAGGATTATTATTATATCGACCAGACAGCACTGAAACCAACTCTATTAAACCGATCTATTAAAACTTCACCAAACTGTCCGCTCTGCTCTGCTCCACATCCCTGACCACACCACTATCCAGTTATTTTTCTGTTGGGAAATTGCAGTTGTGTACGCATTAGACGAGGATGTGAAGACGGGGTTGGCCTCAGACTCGGAACAACAACAATAATAATCCTGACGTTTGATACAGCGCCTCATCACGTCTTCGAGAACCTCTCAAAGCGCTTCGCAGAATCTACCGTACAATGGATTGACTGTGTAATCTGTGGGTGAAACGCGGCAGCCAATTGCGCACAGCAGCGTCCCGTGAACAGTCGTGGATTGATTGACCGAATTATTATTAATTATAATTTTTTGGGGAGGGATTATTAACCGCCAATCGACTAACAACCGGGTTCCTACTCATTGCTGGGTAAACAGAGGCGTGTGGAGTAAGGAAACTCACCTAAGGGTTCGCCCCCTGCCCGGGAATCGAACCCGGGTCCTCTCGCTTGCGAGGCGAGGGCTCTAACCACTGAGCTGCAGGACTCCATAATGGGTGACGAGGGAGGGTTCAGGGGTGTAGGTGGGTGGGGGGGGGGGGGGTGTGGTGACAGTGAGCTTACCCTGGCTGCTGTGCGGTTGAGGGGGAAGGTCGTAAGGCACCGGGAAAGACATCTCTGTGCTCTGCTGCGGGCTTTTCCTCACCAGGAATCTTCCCGAGTCCATTCCCTGAGGATGGATAGAGAGCAAAACAAAACAATGTCAAAGTTACACAGCGCCTCTCATGTCGGGCGAAGTCCCAAGGCGCTGGACAGTCAGGGATTTGGACCCGAGCGGTGTGGGGGTGGGGGGGAGAGGATAGAGAGGGTGCTGGGCAGGGAGGGTGGCCGGCGGCGCTGTCGAAGAGGAGGGTCTTGAGACCGTGCCTTGAAGTAAGCGAGGGAGGGAGCTTTGTCTCTCTCCCTTTTTCTCTCCCTCCCTCCCTTTGTCTCACTCCCCCTCTTTACCTCCCTCTCCGCTTCTTTTTTCTCCTCTCTCTCTCTCTCTCTCTCTCTTTTCCCCTCTTTATCTCTCCCTTCTTCCCGTTTTTCTCTCTCCTCCTCTTTTGTTTCTCTCCCTTCGTCTCTGCCTCCCTCTCTCGTCCCCTTTCTAACTCATTCGCCTTCTCTCTCGTTCCATTTTCTCTCACTCTTTTTTCTCTCCCTCCCTCCCTCTCCCTTCCTCTCTCTCTCTCTCTGCCTCCCTTTCTCTCTCTCCCCCCCTCATTTTGACTCCCCTCTGTCTGTCTCTTTCTTCCCCGCACGCACACGCCTCTGATATATCGCCTGAAAGCTGGCACTAGGCAATGCGTAAGTCACATAAATCAGGAGCATGGTTACACTTGCTCCCCCGTGAACAGTCACCTTCCCTGAAAAACCACACACCCAACACGATTTAATTCCTCTCGCTACCAAGGTCGCCTGAAATCTACGTCTTAACATCATTAGACAGAAGGCTCCCTGCCTACACACCGCACGCCAGCCTGATGCTCACAACATTCCCCCGAAGCACTCTATTTACGCAGCGGCAGCCACCGAGCAGAGCCACAAGAGGGACGATAGGAGCACAGGAACGTAGGAGCTCAGGAACAGGAGGAGGCCATTCAGCCCCTCAAGCCGGTTCCGCCGTTCCACTAGATTCGGTCTGATCCGTACCTCAATCCCTCCAGTTGCGGAGCAGATTATAATATCAGCAGCTTGAATTTAGTAAGAGTTTGGTCGCCCAATCCTGTGCCCAACTGGCTGCTGCGTTTCGCCCACAGAATACATGGTCACTCCGCTTGATAGCATGTCGTGCGAAGCGCTTTGAGACGTCCCAACGATGTGATAAGGCGATACATCAAGTGCAAGGATTATCAGTTATCCTCGTGCGTGCGCGTGTGTGTGTGTGTGCGTGCGTGTGTGTCACCGAGCTGGTAAGTGTGAACTGCCTGCAGTTTGAACATCTTGTACCGACCTCCGAGTACGGACTTGTGATTCACTCTCTTAACGGTGGAATTAAGGCCTGGCGGCGAGGCAGGAAGCGAGCGGAGGCGACCGAAGGCACGGGTCGAAGAGGAACGTCTTCACGTGTTATTTTAAACAATAATAATCATGTGTGATATCACACTTATAACTTCAAAAGCGTCTTAAAGCCTTACACAATGTCCTGCAAAGTGTAGTGACTGTGCATCTTGCAGGGTAACGCGGCCATCAATTTGCCCACAGGGATGTCCCCACAAACATCCGTGAAGTGAACGAGCGATTTTATGCTAATAATAATAATAATTGTCGCATTTGCATGTCGCTGAAACAGCTCGTGGTGCTTCACAGGATATTAGCGCAGTGACTGTGTATTTTTTTTGCGGGTGCAACGTGGCAGCCAATTGCGCGTAGGTGCGTCCCACAAACAGTCGTGAGTCGAGCGCTCAAATTGTGGTCACAACCATACATTAATAATTTTTTTTATCGAAGGGATTGTCGGGGGGTTTTGGGGGTGGGGTGGGGTGGAGGGGGAAAGGCGCTTACAAGTACTTACAAATGGCCTGGGCAGGAATAACACTCCCAGCTCATATGAACGGATCATCAGTTGGGTACCGTTCTTCTCCAGTGCTCCCCAAGCAGCCTTGGACAGATTAGCACTAGAGAGACCGAGAGACAGAGAGGTTTACAACACGGGACGTGGAATCCCAGGGCATTGGGACTTGACTGAAGAATCCTTAAGAGCTGGAGTCTCGTAGCGCAGTGGTTAATGCGCTCGCCTCGCAAGCAATAGCACCGGGTTCGATTCCCAGCCGAGGCAAAAGTTTAGACAAGTTTCCTTTACTTGACCTGCAGCTGGTGCCGATTCCCAGGTGGTGATGTTGACTCACATTGGAACTGGTTGATTCAGATTGAGGGTTTGGAAAGCTTCACTGAGCTGACCCGGGGCTAATAACTTTTCTAATAATGATAATAAGAGACACCTCAAAGACGTGATGAGGCTCTATTGAGTGACCAGTTTATTACTATTCTTTTTAAAGAAAAGCGATTCACCAATCGACTAACAACTGACGACTAACTGCTAAGGAAACAGAGGGTTGTGGAGCAAGGAAACTTGCCCAACATTTCACCCCCCGTGCCGGGAATCAAAGCCGGGTCTCTCGCTTGCGAGGCGAGTGCTCTAATTACTTCAATCCACGGCTGTTTGTGGGGACGCTGCTGTGCGCAATTGGCTGCTGCGTTTCGCCCACAAATATACAGTCGATATCCTGTGAAGCGCTTTGAGTCGTCGAGAAGACGTGAAAAGCGCTACATCAAATGCGAGGATTATTATTATTATTATTAGATTATTATAACAACAGGACTCCACATCTAAGAATATTAAAGTCCTCCTCGGGAGCTGGTTCATTGTGAAGACTCAGTGACTTGTGTGGCTGCTGCCCAACCCATTCTAACTCATCAGTGTGTCTCGCCTCCCAGTCAGAAGGATGTGAGTTCAAGCCCCCACGTCAAGTCATGAAACTGAGACTCCAGTGCAGCCCTGGGGGTGTAATGCATTGTCGGAGGTGCCATCCTATGGATGAGTCATTAAACCGAGGTTCCTCTTCAACAACAACAACAAGATTACATTTGTATAGTGCCTTTTACGTCGGGAGGATGTCCCAAGGTGCTGGATGGACATTGTGTACAGCATTTCAGACCCAATCTGGGGTCAGGGAGGGAGAAGGGAGGGAGGGGAAGGGGGTGACCGATAGCACGGTCTTGAGGCGGGACTTGAAGGAGGCTAAGGAGGGGAGTGATTGGGGGATGGAATTCCGGAGGTTGGGGGCAGAGTGGCTGAAGGCTCTCCCACCAATGGTGGGGCGGGTGGGTCGGGGGACGTGGAGCAGCCGGAGCCGGCTGAGCGGAGGGAACGGGCGGGTTAGGAGGTCGCAGAGGTAGGGTGGGGCGAGGCCATGGAGGGCTTTGTACGTGAGGACCAGGATCTTGAACTGGATCCTCTGAACGATAGGGAGCCAATGGAGTCGGGCGAGAGTAGGGGAGATTGGGTCACCGAGTTTGGTGCGGGAGAGGACACGGTAAACAGAGGCGTGTGGAGTAAGGAAACTTGCCTAAGGTTTTGTCCCGCACCGGGAATCAAACCCGGGTCCTCTCGCCTGCGAGGCGAGCGTGCTAACCACTATATTATGGGACTCCACTTCTTAAATGAGATAAGGGTTTATTAATGAGTCCCAGTGTCCTGGCCTCAAATACCCTTTCTGGCAACCCTACTCTAGTGGTTAATTCCTCTCTCCCCCCCCCCCCCACCACCAGCAATACAGTGAAGTGACAGCCTAGACTATGAGCTTAGAGACCCCCGATGAGGTCGTGAGCTCACAGCCCCCCCTCTTCCCCCCTCCACAACTCCAAAACAAGACTTGAGCCAGGATGACAGAACCTCCCAGTGTATCCTCCCAGCCCCACAAAGGTCTGTCCCGATCACAATCCAGATAGCGAGGACAGGCTGTGAGATGCTTTGACTAATGAGCTGATAAAGAGGCTGGAGTTGAAGGGGGCAGCTCTATAAATCCCACCTGTCTGTGTGTTAATCTCCGCTGTCTATCAGCAAACACTCATGTAGTGACACAAATGAGGAAATTATTTAAAGTGTTTCCTATCAGCAATGCCCTCTGGATGACTGACGCCAGCTCACACTGAAGGTGACTGACTCTCAACGTGAAATTATCTCATCGCATTAAACGCCCCATTTCGCTCCATTTACAGCAAGATAGGGAAACGGCTGAAAGTAACATAACATAATGGGTAAACCACACATATAAACACACACACAACAACAACAACAAGATTCCATTTATAGAGCGCCTTTCACGTCAGGAGGACGTCCCAAGGCGCTGTACAGTTGGGTTAGGACCCGAGCAAGGGGGGAAATGGTCAGGGTGAGGGGAGGGAAGGGAGGGAGCGAGGAGGGGGTAGAGAGTCGAGAGGGGAGCTGAAGGCACGGTCAAAGAGAAAGGTCTGGAGACCGGCCTTGAAGGAGGAAAGGGAGGAAGCGGCGAAGGCACTGGGGATAGAGTTCCAGAGCCTGGGGGCTGAGAGGCTGAAGGCCCGGCCACCGATGGTAGGGCGTTGGGGCGGGGGACGTGGAGCAGACCGGAGCCAGAGGAACGGAGGGTACGGGCAGGTAGGTAGGGGGATAGTAGGTCAGAGAGGTAGGAGGGAGCGACGCCGTGAATGGCCTTGTAGGTGAGGATGAGGATCTTGAAATCGATCCTCTGGGGGATGGGGAGCCAGTGGAGGTGAGCGAGAGCGAGGGTGGGAGTGACGTGGTCGCGGTGTCTGGTGCGGGACAGTACACGAGCTGCAGAGTTCTGAATGACTGCAGTGTGGAGGGAGGGCCGGGAAGGCCGGCGAGGAGAGAGTTCCCATAGTCCAGCCTTGAGGTGATAAAGGCGTGGACCAGAGTTTCAGCCGCGTGAGGGGTGAGGTAGTCTGGCGATACACAAAATACACAGCCAATTCTCTTTACGGTATATTCTGTGAAGCCAATTGAGACGTCTCGAAGAGCAGTGTGTTGAGGTGTTCAAGGAGGCAAGGGGGGGGGAGCGAAGCCAAGGGAATGTGGGATGGAGTTCCAGAGGGTGGGGGCAGAGAGGCTTAAGGCCCAGCTGTCGATGGTAAATGTCACACCACTACTTAAAAAAGGTGGAAAGGAAAAGATGGGGAACTATAGGCCAGTTAGTCTCACATCAGTGATAGGAAAAATTTTAGAATCAGAACAAGAGTTTCAATGGCCTGAGGGGTGAGGTAGTGGCGGAGTCGGGCGATGTTACGGAGGTGAGGGAAGGCAGAGCGGGTCATGGCTTGGATGTAGGGAAGAAAAGACAGTTGAGGGTTGAATAAGACACCGGGGTTCCTGACTGGCTGGTGAGTTGAAGTGTGCAACCATGGAGGCTGATGCTGCCAGAGCCTGAGGTGCAGAGGCGCTGGCGCGAGGCGATCAGGAGGGCCTCAGTCTTGTTCACATTCAACTGTAGGACGTTTGCCCTCATCCAGGACTTGACGTCCGACAGGCAGTCTGTCAGGAGTCTTCACAATGAACCAGCTCCCGAGCAGATCTTTCATATTCTTAAATGTGGAGTCCTGTTGTTATAACAATCTAATAATAATAATCCTCGTATTTGATGTAGCGCTTTTCACATCTTCTAGACATCCCAAAGCGCTTCACAGGACGTACTATAAAGTGAATTGACTGTATATTTACGTGGATTGAAGTGTTTAGAGCACTCGCCTTGCAAGCGGGACCCGGGTTTGATGCCCGGCAGGGGGTGAAATGTTAGGCAAGTTTCCTTGCTCCACACGCCTCTGTTTACCTAGCAGTTAGGAGGAACCCGGTTGTTAGACGATTGGTGAATCGCTTTTCTGGGGGTAATATTGCCTTAAAAAAATAATAATAAACTGGTCACTCAATCCACGGCTGTTTGTGGGACGCTGCTGTGCGCAATTGGCTGCCGGGTTTCGCCCACGAAATACACAGTCAATCCACTTTCCATTGTATTCTGCGAAGCGTTTTGAGACGTCTCAAAGACGTGACAAGATGCTATATCAAATGCAAGGATTATTACTATTATTATTAGAAAAGTTATTAGCCCCGGGTCAGCTCAGTGAAGCTTTTCAAACCCCCGACCTGAATCAATCAGATCCAATGTGAGTCAACATCACCACTTGGGAATTGGCACCAGCTGCAGGTTCCACAATGTCTCGGACACAGTCATGAAAGTGATGAAGTAGAATTATATAGATATATATATTGCACTGTATGTCACTTATTAATTTACAGCGCCTCCCACCGCAGGATATAAGACACTAATGTAATAAGCTGCTTCTGATAATCTTATGAACAGGAAGACCACTGCTCGAGAAGTATATGAACCGCCAGTAATTGAAACCGTTGCCTCAAATACACACACGCATTCCTCTCCACACAAAATACACAGTCACTCCACTTTACAATATATCCTATAAAGCACTTTGAGACGCCTCAATTACATTATAAGTAATTATAACTACATTATAACTACATCAAAGGCAAGCATTATTATGTGTCTGGCTGTTCCACCCCCCCACCAAACACCCCTCTCTACCCCAAACTCCAATACCCCTTCCCACACACACCACCCTTGCCACCCACTCCCCAACTCAACCCCCACACCCCATCATCATCATGTCGGCACTTGGCTTGACAGGCTTGGCTGCCATTCCAACAACAATAATGATTATCCTTGCATTTGAAAAAATGCCTTATCACGTCATTGAGATATCTCAAAGCGCTTCACAGAATATACGGTGAAGCGAATTGACTGTGTATTTTATGGACAGTCGTAGATTGAGTGACCATATTTTTCCTGAGGGATTATTACCCCAGAAAGAGATCCGCCAATCGACTCACAACCGGGTTCCTACTTACTGCTAAGTAAACAGAGGTGTACGGAGTAAGGAAACTTATTGAGGTTTCGCCCCGTACCGGGAATCGAACCCGGGTCCTCTCGCTAGCGAGGTGAACGCTCTAACCACAGGACTCCGCAAATACTCCAATAACGCCACCGTATTAGAGCGACAGCCAAGACTAGGAGTTCAAAGTCCTCGACGTGGGGGCTTGAACCCACAATCTTCTGACTTCTAAGAGGAGCCCATCCAAATTAGCCAAAACACACGGTCACTACACTTTACAGTAAAAATTCTGTGAAGCTCTTTGGGACGTCCTCCCGATGTTAAAGGCATTATTATTAACACCGTCATCAAACCCTGTTACCTGGTGACCAGGAACCAGGCCAGCTCGCTGAAGTCCGGCGACGTCCTCATGTAGGTCTTGATGTGAGGGAGGGCTTGGGTCCGGCCAGAGATATCTGCTGACCACTGACTGCCGTGACACACAACGAGAGAACAGGGTGAATTCAGCAGCGAGAGAGAGAGAGAGAAGGGGGTGGGGGGGGTAGAAACCCCAATGACCCAGCTTCGGTCAAAGGGCTAAAGTCAAACCTAAGTCAAAGAGGAAGGTCTTCAGGCGAGACCTGAAGATGGGGAAGGAAGGTGCACGGCAGAGGGATAAAGGGAGAGTGTTCCAGAGTTTCAGGGAGGTAGTGGCTGAAAGCGCGGCCGCCCGTGTTGGAACGGAGGGCAGGAGGGACGTGCAGGACGCCGGAACCAGTCGAGTAGAAGCAGCGGGTTGTGGGTTGGGGGGGGGGTGAGCAGGTCGGAGAGGGAGGGAGGTGCCGGGGGACATGAAGAGATTTGAAAACGAGTGAGGGGATCTTGAAACCGATCGGTTTGGCGATAGGGAGCCAGTGGAGCCTGGCGAGGACTAGTGCGATGGGAGTGCGGAGTTTAGTGCGGGAAATATGGGTTACCAGGAATAGTGCCCCACTGTGAGATTCACTGTAGGAAACATCGGGAAGACCCTTAGCCTGTTTTTCTGGGAGAGTGAAGTCGGATGGGTCAAACCTCTCTGGTGACCTTATGAAGAGTTAAATTCCTTTGGCTATGAAGGGAGCAGGGAGCGACTGGGATGGGGGGCTCGGAGTTTGAAACGAGTACGATTAGTTTTACTTACTTGAAAAAGGAGTTCAGCCAAGGCTGCTTCTGCGCCGTCAGGATGGCGTAAGGGAGTGACCCGCCTCCTACGAGGGGAGACAGGCAGCGTAAGTGACGGTCCTGACACATCGTAATAATCAGAATAATAATCCTTGCATTTCATACAGCGCCTCATCATTCGAGACGTCTCAATGCGCTTCACGGGATGTATCGTAAAGTGAATCGACTGTGTATTTTATGGGTGAAATGCGGCAGCCAATTACGCACAGCAGCGTCCCTCGAACAGTCGATGATTGAGTGACCAAATTATTGTTATTATTTGAGGGAAAGTTTGCGAACACAGGGCAGAAATTTAGCGCTCAGCCACAGAGTAAAACAACCGTCAGGCAAGTCTGCATCTCAGTCTGGCCCTAACTTCATTAACAGGTTCCATTACACTGCTCATCTGTCTGAATATCTGGAGATTAGAGACATCAGACTCCAATCAGCCTCTCCCCATGGATCCTGCGCTTAGAGTGTCTCTGTTTATGCAGCTGTAAGTAGGAACCCGGTTGTTAGTCGATTGTCCGATCACTTTACTGGGGCTAACAATCCCTTCAAAAAAAAATAATAATAATACTTTGGTCACTCAATCCACGACTGTTCGTGGGATACTTCTTTGCGCAATTGCCTGTCGCGTTTCGCCCACAAAATTTAGTCAATTCGCTTTAAAGTATAACCTATGAAGCGCTTTGAGACGTCTCGAAGACGTGATAAGGTGCTGCATCAAATGCAGAGATTATTATTATTATTATTATTATTATGAACCTCTTCTACCCCCACTAACTTCGCTGCTACATGCAGAGCCACGACTCCAGAAAATCGATGTGGATTGTTTAGCAAAAGGATCAATTTCCATCACTTTTCCTAACCGTGGCATTCGGGGTTAGAGAAGGAACTGATGACAACTAATGAGTAGAGGGAAAGGTTCCGATCATCCAATCCACTGAGGTTCACGCTTGTAAAATACAACAACAAAAAATGTCCTGATCAAGAATCATTAAAATTATGAGAGATCAGTTTGGATAAAGAAGGCCCTTCGGCATTTAAATTTACATAGCGTCTCTCACGCAGGATAGCGTCCTAGAGCGCTTCATCACATCTTCGCCTCGTCACACACTGTCGAATCCTCTCAAAGCGCTTCACGGGCGTCACTGTAAAGTGTAGCGACTGTGTGTATTTTGTGAGCGAAGCTGGCAGCCAGTTTGTGCCCACGTGGAGTGAGCGACCGATTTTATTTGGGGAATTGTTGGCCAGAACACCCGGAGAGAGAGAGAGAGAGAGGAGAGAGAGAGAGAAACTCCCTTCTCTTTTGGAATAACGCCTCGGGATCTTTAACGTCCACCTGAACAACCAGACGGGACCTCGGTTTTAACGTCTCATCCGAAGGACGACACCTCCGACAATGCTGCGCTCCTCCCAACAGTGTATTGGGGAGTCAGCCTGGACTGTTAGCTCAAAGCCCAGACACGGGGCTTGAACCCACAAACTTCTGACCCGGAGGCGGGAACGTGACAGAACGAGCCAGTTTGGTATCTGAAGTAGCAGATCAAACAGCTCGGATCAGCTCCAAAGAGCTCCCTTTTTACTATCCCTACTTCTTAACGATCCTACCTGGATATCCTTCTAAACTGGTCCTGACGTTATCTACAGTCGGATAAACCTGTGTCAAGAAAATAGCGAAATTACATTAGGGAGGTGAGGGGCGCTCTAGAGTGTAGGAGGAAGGGAAGAGCGAGGGGGAGGTGAGGAGTGTTGTAGAGTGTAGGAGGAAGGGAAGAGCGAGGGAGGTGAGGAGTAATGTAGAGTGTAGGAGGAAGGGAAGAGCGAGGGGGAGGTGAGGAGTGTTGTAGAGTGTAGGAGGAAGGGAAGAGCGAGGGGGAGGTGAGGAGTGTTGTAGAGTGTAGGAGGAAGGGAAGAGCGAGGGGGAGGTGAGGGGCGCTCTGGAGTGTAGGAGGAAGGGAAGAGCGAGGGGGAGGTGAGGAGTGTTGTAGAGTGTAGGAGGAAGGGAAGAGCGAGGGGGAGGTGAGGAGTGTTGTAGAGTGTAGGAGGAAGGGAAGAGCGAGGGGGAGGTGAGGAGTGTATAGAGTGTAGGAGGAAGGGAAGAGCGAGGGGGAGGTGAGGAGTGTATAGAGTGTAGGAGGAAGGGAAGAGCGAGGGGGAGGTGAGGAGTGTATAGAGTGTAGGAGGAAGGGAAGAGCGAGGGAGGTGAGGGAGTTGATGAGTGCTCTCACCAGGTGTAGCGGAGCCTTGTGACTGACCAGCGGTGTGTCCCGTTTACCCAGGCGGCTCAGGCTCTCCTTGAACTCCGAACACAGCCACTTGTCCTCGTCGGGCCCCAGGGACCCAATACTGGAGAACTGACCAACCAGAGGCCAGGATTCCCGGCCGGGCCGGGGGGAGGTGTGGTCACTCAGGACCTGTCGGAAAAGGCACCGGATCCATAAACAAGAGCGGAGCCGGGATAATAATCCTTTTTAAATCCCAGTGAATTACATTTATAATGTATACACACACACACTCACCGAACAATCAGAATGGCCTCAATAGAAGGCAGTTCTATGTATAATGGAGGAGCGCCGCCTGCTGGTGGTGATGATCATTGCATCTATAATACAATAACCCCTGCATTCGATACAGCGCCTCATCGCGTCTTCGCCACGTCTCAAAGCGCTTCACAGGACACACTGCTAAGTGAACCGCCTGCGCAATTTGTGGGCGAAACGCGGCAGCCAACTGCGCACAGCAGCGTCCCCGCAAACACTCGTGGATTGAGTGACCATATTATTTTATTTTATTTTATTTTGAGAGGGACTATTACCCCAGAAAGCGATCCGCCAATCGAATAACAACCGGGTTCCTACTTACTGTTGGGTAGACAGAGGCGCGTGGGGTAAGGTTTTGCCCCTTCTGGGCGCTGAACCCAGATACTGGTGCGAGGCGCGTGCACTAACCAGTACGTTACAGGATTTCCTATTTAAACGGGAGGACGCCCCAAAGCACTTCCTACCCAGAGCTCCGAGACGCTACTTGCACGAATGAAGGATTATTGTCATAGTGCCTTATCAATGTCTCAAAATGCTTCACAGAATCTTGATGTGAAGTGGAGTGACTGTGTATTTGTATTTGTGGTGAATGCTGCGCACAGCATTACTTCACGAACAGTCGTGAAGTGAGTGACCGATTTTATTTTCGGAGGATTGTCGGCTAGGACATTGGGGGAGGGAAACTGTCTTCTCTTTAAGAATTGTATCACAGGATCTTTGAACAGCGCCTTGGGACGTCCTCCCGACATGAAAGGCGCTATGCAAATGTCATTTACTTGTTGTTGAACATCTTTCGAAGACATCTGCAGTGGGTGGGGTGGGGTGGGGGGGAAACGGGGACAAAGGGGTTTCTGTTTGTAAAGATACGGATACACAAACCTTTCGGAGTTTGAAGTGACCCCATTTGTCTTTCAGGCTGCCCACATGACGGCCGGGTATTGAGGCAATAAGGTGAACCCTGCAAAGACAATATAAAAGCACAGTGGTTAGAGCTCTCGCCTCGCAAGCGAGAGGATCCAGGTTCGATTCCCGGGCAGGGTGACACCTTAGGCAATTTCCTTACACCACACGCTCTATTTACCCAGTCGTAAGTAGGAACCTTGGGGGGTAGTTGATCGGCGGATCGCTTTCTGGGGATAATAAACCCCCAATAAGTAAATACATAACTTGATCAGTCAATCCATGACTGTTTGTGGGACACTACTATGTGCAATTACCTGCCTCGTATCATCCACAAAATTCAGTCAATTCACTTTACAGTAAATTCTGTGAAGCGCTTGGAGAGGACTCAACGATGTGATAAGGCTCTGTATTATTAATTATTATTGTTAATTATTAATTATCATTAACAATCAAGGATTATTATTATCATTTTACTGTCATTATTACCAGCAGCAAAAGAACATAAGAATTGGCTAGGAGAAAGACTAACGTCCACTTACACGTGGAAATCCCAGAGATAGATTGTTGGGATGAAATGCACTCTCTCTCTCGCTGGAGGGAAACATCCCGCTTACATACAACAACAACTTGGATTTATATAGCGCCCTCCACCCCGGACGACATCTCAGAGCGCTTTACAGTTTAGGATCCCGGGACCGAGCCGGGGGGGGGGAAAGTATGAAGTATTAGGCGCAGGTTGGTAAGAGCCAAGGTTTGAGGGGGAGCCCAGAGTGTGTGTTGAGGATAACTGCACCCTGAATTGTACGTTACTGTGTAGTACGAACGATAAAAGCGTCAGAAGGAAAGTGGGGGGGAGAGAAAGTTGATGGAGTGAACACCAAGATGGAGTGGGGTACCTGGTGTCAGACAGGTCGTGTTCCTGGACGTGTGAGACCCACTCTCCCAAGCCTGTTGAGCGATAGGCCAGAAGATAGTCGATCAAATCCCGCTTAAAATTGGTGGGCGATTCTCCGGATGATTCAGAACTTCCGTCCGGTAACCGTGGATACAGAGGACTCAACCATATCCTAGAGCGACCAGCGGGACGCAAATAAAAAAAAATTAAGTCGTAACTTATGCTGAATTTCCTCTTCTTTTTTTTCTCTCCACCAAAGGCCTGAAATTCCACCCAAGGCTCAGGGGGACGACGACACCGAGACCAACAACAACAACACATGATATTTTACACGGCGCCTTTCACGTCGGGAGGACGTCCCAAGGCGCTGGATAGTTAGGGGTTTGGACCGGAGCTGGTGGGGTTGGATAAGGAGGGGGTGGAGGGCAGGGAGGATGGGGTGCGTAGGAGGATGGCCGAAGGCGCGGTCGAAGAGAAGGGTCTTGAGATGGGCCTTGGAGGAGGCAAGGGAGGGAGCGAGGCGGAGAGACTGTGGGATAAGAGTTCCAGAGGGTGGGGTAGGAAAGGCTGAAGGCTCGACCGCTGATGGTGGGGTAGCCAGGGCGGGGGGATGTGGAGCAGGCTGAGCGGAGGGAGCGGACAAGTTGGTAGGGAGTTAGCAGACGTTAAGGAAGAACACGGCCATGGAGAGGCTTTGAAGATCAGAGCCCACGACTCACCCCTGTGTCTTCTGGTACCAGTCATCGTGGATCAGGTTGGCTGTGAGGATGACCACACGCAATCCTTCCTCGTACAGGAGCAACATCATCTTTCTTCAGCAACAGACAACAACAGACGACAACTTACATTTGATGCAGCGCCCTATCACGTCGTTGAGATGTCTCAAAGTGCTTCACAGAATATACAGCAAAGCGAACTGACTGCATATTTCGAGGGTGAAATTACTGATCTAAAGCCAATTTTTATTTATAATAGCCATTTATTTACTCACGTGTGATGTGTCCCATACGCAATCTCCAACTTAGCCTGCAAACCAAGACCAGGTTTAAATTTTATAAATATATTGATAATCACAGTGAGAGATGGAAGATAAAAAGGCATTCTCATTTCGGACACCCAGTATTAGCATCCACACTCCCAGCTCAGGGGTAGAGACACAGTAAAGCTCCCCCTACACTGTGCGTCCACACTCCCAGGTCAGGGGTAGAGACACAGTAAAGCTCCCTCTACACTGTGCGTCCACACTCCCAGGTCAGGGTTAGAGACACAGTAAAGCTCCTCTACACTGTGCGTCCACACTCCCAGGTCAGGGTTAGAGACACAGTAAAGCTCCTCTACACTGTGCGTCCACACTCCCAGGTCAGGGTTAGAGACACAGTAAAGCTCCTCTACACTGTGCGTCCACACTCCCAGGTCAGGGCTAGAGACACAGACAGTAAAGCTCCCTCTACACTGTGCGTCCACACTCCTGAGTCACTGACAGCGAGAGAGTAAAGCTACCACACTTACCGGTTGCAATGAATTACACTTGCGCAGTGTAGATTATTGATTAAATCGGATTTTAAGCAATTTATAGAGTTTGCCTGCAATTCGGGCTTCACGTAAATCACACTAATTGTTATGATCCCGACTGCTAACGACCTAAGTGAGCTTTATTGTGTTTAGTATGATCGACTAGTAAAGTGTAGGGCCTCCACTGTCCCTGAGCAAAGGTCTCTATTGTGTGTCGGCCCCCACTCTCCGCTTCCCCCCTCCTCCCCCTCCTCCCCGAGCCACCCTGGTTACCTGGCACAGACGCACGTTCTGGTAGGGGTGGGCCTCCTGGTGTAGCGCAGCGCGAGCCGCTCGCTGCTCCCCGTGAATGATCAGCACAGGCGTCTTCCTGAAACCAAACGTCATTGAGCGGAGACAGACAGACAGAGGCTGAGCCCCCCTCCCCCCACAAACACACATCTACTTATAGGCTCTACCTGTTTAAGGAGAGTCCCGCAGGGTAGCTGTTAGAGCTCTCGCCTTGTGAGCGAGAGAACCCGGATTCGATTCTCGGGGTGGTGGGGGGGGGCGAAACGTTGGGTAAGTTTCTTTGCTCCACACGCCCTGTTTACCCAGCAGTGAGTAGGAACCCGGTTGTTAGTTGATTGGCGGATCGCTTTCCGGGGGTAATAATCCCTCAAAATAAATACATAAATAAATAATTTGGTCATTCAATCCACAACTGTTTGTGGGACGCTGGTGTGTGCAATTGGCTGCTGCGTTTCACCCCCAAAGTACACAGTCAATTCACTATACGATATATTCTGTGAAGCGCTTTGAGACATGTCAACACTTTGATAAGGTCCTATATCAATTGGTGGGATGATTATTATTATTGACTGGAGCATTCATTCATTCTTTGTTTTATTTACTCGCTCACTCGTTCATTCAGTTGACCAAACTCACGAGCAAAAGACTCACCTAAACTCTTCGGGGTATTGCTTGAGCATCCATGGAATGTCAATGCAATAGTTGAACTGAAAGGCAAAACATTACTGGGTGTAATACAACACAGTTTCAGCAAAAGTAGAGCTCTCCTGGTATCTAAAATAGTTCAGTTGAATTCTGGGCTGGGAACTGCATCAAACTTATATCATCTATTACTGAGGAACTGAAACTATCCTTCTGGCTTTCCTTTCTTTCTATCCCATTTAGCATCTTCTACGCCTCGATTCAATTCTACACGCTATTTTATGTATTTTTAAATATTCTGTGTATTTGCCCACAAAACACACAGTCGCCTCACTTTACGAGTTGTTGGGATCTGGAATGCGTTGCCTGAAAGGGTGGTGGCGGAAGCCGATTCGATAACAACTTCTAAGAGAGAAGTAGATAATTATTTGGGGAGGACAAGTTTGCAGGGCTGTGGGGAGAGAGCGGGGGAGTGGGACTGAATTGAATGGCTCTTTTCAAAGAGCCTGTTACCCCCACCTTTTTCTCTACGGCATGCACACTCACCAACCCAACCACTGAAACATGTGGAAGAATGATGATAATGGCATTTAGACGTACTTAATTGTAGCCAGTACTAGAGTTTAACTGTATTTAGTCGTCCAGAGGATTGGTGTGTGTGAGTGAATGTGAGTATGTGTGAGTGTGTGTGTGAGTGGTATCATTTTCATGGGTCCGTAACATGGATGGAGTCAGTGAGGAGGTGAAATGTGTCTCTTGACAGTTCGTTTCAACTCCTCCGTAGTCTTGTATCGCTGTTTTGTAACAGGGGGTAACAGGACTTTGCGGACCCCCTGTATTTACAGCTGGAGTATGATTCTCAGTTGGAGATGGCACCAGCATTCTGTCTCCTGTGTTTATCGCTGGTCACCCAATCGACCAATAACCCTCAATCTCTTTCGCCCTCACCCTATCCACAGGTTGAGTGGTTGCATTGGGTTCCCTCAGTCAGTGCACATTTTACACAGATTACACTCTGGTTTTTGATCTCTTCCTTGGGTATAAAGAGGTACCTGGCCTATATTTCTCACCTGGGCGGAGGCTTTAATTGTCCCGAAGAGAGGCGACAAAATATCTGAAAAAAATAAAATAAAAAACTACTTGAGTTTCTCTTCATCTCACCTCATCCCAGGAGTTTACATATAAATCCTATCTATTTAAATAGGGAATGGGATGGTGGAGGGAGAGGGAGGGAATGGGATGGAGGAGGAAGGGGGGGAGGGAATGGGATGGGGAGGGAGGGAGTGGGATGGGGAGGGAGAGGGAGGGAATGGGATAGGGAGGGAGATGGAGGGAATGGGATGGGGGAGAGATGGGGGGAGGGAATGGGATGGGGCAGGGAGTGGAGGGGGGAGTGGATGGCCAGGACACAGCCACCCGCTGCACTCCTCACCTTTTATGTGAAGGGCTTCGGAGTTGTACTTTGTGCTGATGCCTGAGACTCTGGTCAGAAAAATCGGAAGGTTTTGCATTTCTCCAGCAGGTCCCACTTGTCGGGCTGCTCGTCGGGGGTCTCTGAGCTCTCCCCGGTCGTGTCCCAGGTAGTCTCCGTGCTGGTGTCTAGGGCGGTCTTGTCGTTGCTGGGGTCCAGTCGGGGCTTGACTGGCGAGCGGTTTGGCTCCAGCCGCTGCTTCTTGCTGACTGGGCTGGGTTTGGGGCTGGGGTCGGAGCCGGGTGCGGGGCTGGGGTGGTGGTCACCCCGCTCACCCCCTCCCCCGGCGTCCGGCTCGGAGTCGCTGCTGGACAGATCCCAGCCCAGCTCGGACGGTGACGGCCTCCCCCTCTTGACGGCCGGTGACGTGCGCTTGTTCCCGGGGCTGGACGTCCCCCGTCGCCAGGCCGTTCCCCGCGGCAGGATCCCGGCCTCGGGGGGCCGGACCGGGGCAGTCTCTGGCGGTTCTCTGGGATCGTCGGACCCCGGATCAGCCCCTCCGGCGGCCGGAGCCTCCGGCTGGGAATCCGGCCGATTCCCAGGGCCCTCGGGCTCTTCCTCGTCGCTGCTCGACACTGTCCACCTCCCGTGCTGACTCTGGGCTCGGTTGGCTCCCGAAGTCATGTCTGTGCTGCAAACGTAACAACAGGGGTTGAACCAGAGACTCACTCACTAACAATCCAGACACAGACAATTTCAACGGGCTAGGCGTAGGCTCGTGCGCTATCGCTCTATTACCAACGATCAGCGACTCTCCTCAAGTAGTTAAC